TGGACTATAGAGAAAGCTGAGCACCAAAGAATTGATGCTTTTGAGCTGTGGTATTAGAGAAGATTCTTGAGAGTCCCTTGGACTGCAAGGAGATCAAAGCAGTCAACCCTAAAGGAAATAACACTGAATATTCTTTGGAAGGACTGATGCTGAAGCTGATGCTCCAATACTTTGGCCACTTGATGAGAACAGCTGACTCATTATAAAACACCCTGATGCTCAGAAAGATTGAGGGCAGGAGGAGAAGAGGTGAAGAGGATGAGATGGTTGGATGGCATCACTGACTCAACAGACATGAGTTTGAGCAAACTCCAGGAGATAGTGAAGAACAGGGCAGCCTGGTGTTCTGCAGTTCATGGGGTCGCAAAGAGTCAGACATCACTTAGCAACTGAACAACATTGGTCATTTTTATTTTCCTTCTTTGTATCTTGATGAATCATACTGTATAAAGTTTTATCAGTATTTTCCAAGAACCAGCTTTTGACTTTTTTCTCTTGTATGCTTATCTATTGACTTACTGACATGCCTTCTTATCTTTATTATTTCCTTCCTTTTGTGTTCTCTGGTTTTGATTTGGTGTTCTTTTTCTAGCTTGTCAAGTTAGATGTTCAGCCTTCCTTTGTTTAAACTGCTTTTATTTATATCTATAAATTTCCCTCTCAGACCTGCTTCATTCCCATCATTCAAGCTTAAAGATGTGTTTTTCATTATCATTTAGTCCTAGTTTTTCTAAACTCTTCTTTTGATTATCTTTTAACTATAAAAGTGTATAGTTTAATTTCCAATCTGTTATTAGTTTTCTGTTCAGCTTGCTAATGATTTCTGGCTTAACTCGTAATCAGAGAGCATACCACATGAATTAAATCCTCTGAAATTAGTCAAAGTTTCATTTTCATTTTAAGACAATGCAAATTCTACAGTTATTGGTTTGTGTGCTACATATATCATTTACATCATTTATCAATCATGTTATTTAAATATTCTAAATTTTACTATTTTGCATAACTACTTCCCCGGTGGCTATGGTCCATGGAGTCACAAAGTGTCTGACACAACTGAACAACTAACACTTTCACTTGTTCTACCAGTTACTGAGAGACGTGTATTAAAATCTCCAACTATAATTGTGGACTTAACTATATCTCCATCTATTTATTTCACTGTTTGCTTTATATATTTCAAGGTTATGTTATTAGGGGCACACCCATTTCATGTTTTATCTTCCTATAAGCTGTCCGTGTTTAGTAATGTGCCTTGTCTTAAAAATAAATCTACTTTTATATTAGTGTAGTTATGTCCACTTTCTTTTATTTGATATCTGCAAGATATATCCCTGTTTTACATTTGAGTGTTCTATAAGCTCCATGTAACTGAGACTTGCTATTTACTTCCGTCTGTTTTTAGTCGCACACAGCATCTTACGCTCACATTCCAACCACTTGCCGACAAGCTGGAGCTTCAGTCTGCTTCCATCTCTTCGCTGTTGTCTCAGCTGTTCCGTGGCCCCTGCACTCTGTTTGTGTTTGTTTTTAAGTTGTCAAGTATTTTTATTATTCCAGTGTTTCCCTTTGGATTGTTAGTCGTATATTCAGTGATTCTTCCTCTGCTTTTCACCTCATGTTAACAAAGTGCATCCGTGTCTCATGGGCATTAGCCTCCAGTTACTATTTCCATCTCTTCTCAGCAGCTCAAGCCTTCCCTTTGCCCTCATGACTTCTGTGTCATTGTTCTGTATTCTAATTGGGCACATATTTTAAATGCCACATGCATGATCACTATTTTTGTTATTTTCAAAGGCAGAATTTGTTTAGAATTGCCCATCTGTCTGTCTTTCCTTCCTGCATCTTCATGTTTCCATCTAGGTCATCTTCCTCCTCCCTGAAGATCTCCTTTTAGGAGACCAGGCCTCCCAGCAATGAATTCTCATGGTTGTTGATTGCCTGAAATCATCTTAATGTAGCCTTCACTTTTGAGGATATTTTTGAGAGTACCGAATTCTTTGTTGGCAGTTACTCTCTTTCATCACATTAAAGATGTACACCATTATTCCTTTTGAAAAAGCCAGCTGCCAGTCTCACCACAATGCTGCTGAAGGATGAGTCTTTTTCTCTGGGTCCTTGGAAGATTTTTTTCTTTGTCTTCGGTTTTTAGCAGTTTTGCTGTCATGGGCTTTAGTGTGGTTTTCTCTGCAATCCTCCTTCTTGGGGTAGTGGAATTCCTTTAATCTGTTATTATACTTCATCAGTTTCAAAAATTCTTGGCCAGCAGCTGTTCAAATATTTCTTCTACCTTGTTCTGTCTCTCTTTTCCTTCTGAAACACCATTTTCACATGATAAATATTTTCAACATTTCCTGTACATTTCCTCTTGTTTCTTTATATTTTCCATTAATTTGTTTCTCTCTACTTTAGACATGGGTTTCCCAGGTGGCTCAGTGGTTAAGAATCCTGTCTGTTCAGGAGACACAAGAAACACAGGTTTGATCCCTGGGTTGGAAAGATCTGTTGGTGGAGGAAATGGCAACCTGCTCAGTATTCCTGCCTGGAAAATCCCATCGACAGACGAGCGTGGGAGGCTGCAGTCCATAGGGTCGCAAAGAGTCAGACTCGATTGAGCACACGTGCGTGCAGGACTTGAGACGTAGTCTACCAACCTGTTTTCCACCTTATGATAATACTCTATTATTTTACCGTGTCTCATATAATATTTAAACCCAGCTATTTAATTCTTAATTTCATGGGTTTTTTAAAATTTTGAATTTTCCATTTGATTTTTACAATTAATTCCATCCTCTAATCAGTATCATTTCAGTCACTTAGTTGTGTCTGACTCTTTGCAGCACACGAGGCTTTCCTGTCCATCACCAACTTCGGGAGCTTGCTCAAACTCATGTCCGTCACGTTGGTGATGCCGTCCAACCATCTCATCCTCTGTCTTTCCCTTCTCCTGACTTCAGTCTTTCCCAGCATCAGGGTCTTTTCCAGTGAGTTAGTTCTTCACATCAGGTGGCCAATGTATTGGAGTTTCAGGTCCAGCATCAGTCCTTCCAATGAATATTCAGGACTGATTTTCTTTAGGATTGATTGGTTTGATCTTGCAGTGCAAGGGACTCTCAAGAGTCTTCTCTAACACCACAGTTCAAAAACATCAGTTCTTCAGCGCTCAGTCAGAAGTAAAGGGAAATATTTATTAGGTCACCATCCTCTAATTTTCTTGGCTATATTTATCAGAGCCATTTTATAGTCATGTCTTAAAATGCCAGTATCTGGATCTCTTTCTAGTCTCTGGTTTATTTTTGTTTTTCCATTGTTAACTTCATGTGATCATTTGGTACTATTTCTGGCATATTTATTAATTGATTATTGAAGTTACATATAATTAAATCATAGAGGCTTTAGATGGTATCTTACCATAGAGAGGATTTACTCTTTCTAGCAAGATGGGCAGACAAGCCTGAGCCAGGCAGGGATTGAGTCAATCTAAGGCCGCGTTTTAGGCTCTCTGAAGGCTGGTTTGTCATTATTCCTAAGTCACAGCCCTTTAGGGGTTTAAGATGAAAACCTAGGGATCCTTCTACCCATCCAACACATGAGCACCTTGGGAAATGGAAGAAAGAGAAGGAAAACCTCATACTGCCTGTAGAGTCTGAGGCTCCTTGTGGCTTCCTTCTCTCCACCCTGTTGCCTTGAAAGCCCTTAACGTCTTTTGCTGTCCGTTCCATTCGGTGACACTGTCATAAGCTCTGGGCCTCTGCTCTCTAATCACCGCTGTGCCCTGAAACCTGGATTAACCCTCAGCCAGGAGATGAGAGGAGGCTGCAGTGCCCGTGCTCCCTCCTCACCGGGGCCCCAGTCCTTTAGGTCCCAGCCGCCGCAGCTGCCCTCCAGAGCTCCATAGACAACTTTCTAAATCACAGTTGACATGCGAGGGAGGTCAGATAAGTTTCTCTATGGGCCACAGGTGGAAGTCTGCTTAGAATATATTTGTTAATATCCTTGAAATTTGTAAACTCTACTTCAACTTCAGGAGTTAATGTAATGGTTTAACGATCTTGGAAGTACATTTGTGAGGAACAGCTTGTCTCCAAACAATTAAAAGTCAGAGTTAAATCAAATATCTAATTAAGTCTTCTCCAAAGCAGAATTTAAGTGTTGTAAAATGATTATAAACAAAATGTTCTTAACATGTTTTAGAGAAGCAAATATTACATAAAGTTAAGTTCAAAGACAGGTTGTTTGAGGTGGGTCTTGCAGGAAGTTTGCTGCAGAGACGCGTGGTGTTCACATCTGTGAAGTGGGGCGTCCTTCTGCAGGCTCAGACACACCATGGCTGTGCTGTATACATTTATCCCCAAATCCTATTTCTAGGACTTTGCTCTAAGGCACAAAGTCAGAAATAAAGGGCAATATTGATACACAAAAATGTGTACCATAATGCAAAGCTGAAAACATCTTAAATATGCAAGGAATACTTAAATTGTTCAGTTCAGTTGCTCAGTCGTGTCCGACTCTTTGCAACCGCATGAACTGCAGCACGCCAGGCCTCCCTGCCCATCACCAATTCCCGGAGTCCACCCAAACTCATGTCTATTGAGTCGTTGATACCATCCAACCATCTCATCCTCTGTCGTTCCTCTCTCCTCCTGCCCTCAATCTTTCCCAGCATCAGGGTCTTTTCTAATGAGTCAGCTCTTCGAATGAGGTGGCCAAAGTATTGGAGCTTCAACTTCAGCATCAGTCCTTCCAGTGAACACCCAGGACTGATTTCCTTTAGGATGGACTGGTTGGATCTCCTTGCAGTCCAAGGGACTCTCAAGTCTTCTCCAACATTGTTCACTTCCATTAAAAAGAAGCTTTAAGATTAAAGCCACACAGGTGTCTGTCGAAGTGTTTAACTCTCCATCTCGTCCCTCTTCCATGACCCCCATTTCCCCCCCCGCCCCCGTCCCCATCCTTCCTCCCCCTCCCCCTCCTCTCCCCCCCCCACCCCCACCTCGAAGGAAGCTGCACTGCACCCGGAACTACATCCACCTGAACCTGTTCCTGTCCTTCATGCTGCGGGCCGTCGCGGTGCTGGTCAAGGACGACGTGCTGTACTCGAGCTCCGAGAGGCTACACTGCCCAGACCTGCCGTTCTCCTGGGTAAGGCTTCCGGGGCCGGGGCCTCCAGGCGGCCTTGTGAGCTCCCGCCCCGCCACCAACCTCCGTCTGGGATGAGGTTCAGAGCAGGCTTCACTGTGGCCCCGGTTGGGGTGGGGGCGGAGGGTGTCCGGCCTGCGCTCAGAGCATCTCAGGGCGGCGGGCGTCGCGAGTGGGGGCACAGGCGCTGCCCACTGGCAGCTCACGGCCCGAGCGCTGACCGGGGCAAAGCCGAACTCGCTGCTGGGGACCAGCAGCAGCTGGGGGCTGGACGAAGGGGACACAGGTGGGCACGCACGATGCCATGTCCCGGGTTCTGAGCGGTGGATGCTTCCAGCTGGCCGGGCGGGTACCACCTGGGGGAGCGCGGCCCCGGCCCCTGCCCCTGCCCGGGCCGCAGTGCGGTGACCGGGCCGCGAGGGGATCGCCCGGTAGTTTCTGCGGTGGACCTAGCGGGCCTTTAGGACGAAGCTCAGTTTGGCGCATTCATTGAGCACACCGCCGGCCGTGCTCCTCTCCTCCGGGGTTCCTCACAGTGCCCGGTCAGATCTGATATCAGCTATTACACGCGGAGCCAGACCTGGCTCTCCGCCCACACCTGCATGGATGGACCCATCTGCTGATTCCGTTCCTCTGGACTGAAGAGGTCTGAGTCAGGGTCTTTCTAAGACTATAAAGCCTTTCACACGCTGTATAGCTTCAGCCGCTTCCCACCCACAGGTTAATATACCCCTGGGGACAGTCCCGCTGTGAGGCGTGGGGACTGAATGCAACAGTAAAATCAGCAGCATGGCCCTCCACCCGGACGTCCCACCCAGGTGGAAGGGGAGCCCTGGGCTTTTGTCCCGGGATGGAGTCTCCTCTGCACAGATGGGGGCCCCCCAGAGGCCAGGAGTGGGGAGACCCTGTTCTCCTCCCACTGAGAAATCTTGGGTGGCTTCCCCGCCTTACTCAGAGCTCTGCTCCAAGGAGCCCTCCTTACTTAGCTCCTCCTTCATTAAAGGCCGTAGTGAACCTGATGGACCCACGGACAGCAGGCCCTTGACCCGAGCAGAATGCTCTCATGCTGTGTAGACAGAGGACCTGGCTGGCTCCCCGCTGAGGGAGGTGGGGGACGGGGTGGGGAACGGGGTGGGGCGCCAGGAACTTGGGTGTCCCTGCCCCGAGTCCCACCTGCCTGGGGCGCTGGGGGCAAACTCAGAGGTCTGAAACATCTGAAGAGGGGTAGTCCCACAGAGGAGGGCAGGAGGCTGGGCTGGGGGCCTGACCTTGCTGAGGGTCCTGGGCTGCACAGTCCAGGTTAGTGGGGGAGAGGGAGCAGGAGGAAGGGAAGTTAGCAGAGCCCGTCAACACACACACGTGTACATGTGCTCACACCCTGGCACACACACTCTTCACACTCCGTCCCATCGAGAAAGTTTGGCTCCAACCCTGGAAGGACAGCTCTGAAGACAGAGGCTTTGAGCGGCACTGGGGGAGCCCACGTCCGTGAGTGTGCTGGCACACAGGACACGAAACCACACAAGTGGCCGCAGCCCTCACCTCTGCCGCTCGCTAAGCAGTGAGGGCTCCGGGCTCCAGGCCCACAGAGGTGGCAAAGCCTCCTTCCCCAGCCCTGCAGCCGTCGCTCCCACATGTTTACGTAAGATCTCCTGTTTGCTTGCTCTTTGCACCTGTGGACACTGTAAGTCTCCCCAGCACCGTAGGGAAATGCCTTCCGTCCCCATAGGGCCCGAGAGGCAGGCGTTTCCAGGTGTGACTCCTGACAGTGGCTTTGACAGTCATGAACGTGGGTGCAGTTTTCTCGTCCTTTTTGAGGGGGTGGGCCTCAAAGAAGCCAGCTTTATTGGCTTGTAAAGTGGGCCTAGAGACAGAGCCCGGCTCCCATCCCTACCGAGGCCAGCCCACACTCACACGGACGCCTCCTTCTCCGCACTTCTTGGTTTGGGTTTCATCTAAACTGTGGAAACTATGCTGCAGTGAACAAGCGACCCGAGGGCCACCTGAAGCTTGACTTTCAGCAGGACCTCCTGCGGATCCTGGGGCTCAGCACCCTGCACGCCTGGCTGCCGTGGGTGGTAGAGGCTCCCAGACGGGACAGGACTGGCCGAGGACCTGCTGGGCACCAGGCAGGGTGCAGTCCTGGCTGCTGGCCTCTCAGCCTTCCCACGACTGAAGGTCAGCAGACAGCCCCTCACCCCAGAGCCTCTGCCCTTGGAGTGTGTTGATGGCAGATGAGCCGCGGGGAAGAAGTGCAGACATGGCATTTTAAACATTTTACCAAGAAGAAGGAATTGGAATCATCTTAAACACACTTTGTGCTTTTTCCTCCTTCTACAGTTTATCTTGGAAACTCTGAGTCCTTTGAATCTGGAAGGTGTGATGTAGTCTGTGTGACTGTTTCGCCAATAACAGACACACCTTGGTTTATGTTTTCTGCCACCACTCAGTCAGGGGAGACTGGAGAGAGTCTGGAGGCAAGCGAAGGGCACATGTATTTAAGTTGTAACAGGCAGAGCTGGTCGCCGTGGGTGCCGCACGTGCAGGACGCTCACTGTGGGCTCCCCCACCCACGGGTGTGGGGTCCTGCTCCCCGACACCCGGACCTGCCTGTGTCAGCGTTCCAACAAGGGGCGCCAGTCCCAGGGTCTCATCTCTGGGTTTTTACGCGTCTCTTTCCACTTACCGGGCCCAGCCCTGGTGTCCTCCACATGCCGGACCCCCAGCCCCACACTCAGCATCAATAAACCTCAACTGCCTTAGAAGGAAACGGCAGGAGAAGCCTGGTGCCAGGAAACGGGAGCAGCGGGGTCAGAGCTCCCCACAGCCCGGCGCCCGCCTGAAAGGCCGCCATGCGTTTCTTGCCTGGCCGCCAGTACACGCGTTGTGGGTCTATCCACACGGTATTAGTGTATCCACCCTGTCTGTCCACAAATATGCATTTGGGGAGCAGGCTGTAAAGATACAGAATGATAGCAATAAAGTGCTGGGGGGTTGTTTAGGTGCATTTATATAACCTTAGTGATTTGAAGCCTACATTTCCCTTTTCTGAACGCGGGAGGAAATAATGTGTTTGGTGGGTTTCTCTTCTTTTTTCCTTTACTTCTCCTCTCTTGTTAAGAGTACACAGTGAGGACAGAAAGAGGACGGAGTGGGACTGAGCGGAGGGTTAGTGGAGACGACGTGGCAGGAGGAGGGGGGCCGGGCCCCACGCGGCCACTCAGGGCGACTGTCCCCTCGGGCGTGGTGTGTGTCTGCTCGGCCCGTGTCGCCCTCCGCGCACGCTCACACTGCCCCTCGCCTGGTCCAGGTGGGCTGCAAGCTGAGCCCGGTCTCGGGGGGGACCTCCACGCTCCTCGAGCGCACGGGCCACCTGGGGACCCGGAGCGGCGGCCTGTGACGGCGCGTGCACTCACGCGGCCCCTTCCCATGCAGGTGGGCTGCAAGCTGAGCCTGGTCTTCTTCCAGTACTGCATCATGGCCAACTTCTACTGGCTGCTGGTGGAGGGGCTTTACCTCCACACCCTGCTCGTGGTCATCTTCGCCCCCGGCCGGCGCTTCCGGGCCTACCTCCTGATCGGATGGGGTAAGGACTCCCCCTGCCTGCCAGGTGCCTGGTTCCTGGCCCCCCGGACCTACCCACGGAGACTCTCCGCTCAGAAAAACGCTGGGCTGCCCCTGGAGGAAGAGAGTCAGCACCTTAATGTTTTGGGAGCCAGAAATTGCAAGTGAAAGTCGCTCGGTCGATCCGACTCATTGCAGCCCCATGGACTACACAGTCCTTGGAATTCTAAGTATTCTTACTGAAGTGGATAGCCTTTCCCTTCTCCAGGGGACCTTCCTGACCCAGGGATTGAACCCAGGTCTCCCGCATTGCAGATGTGCGGATTCTTTACCAGCTGAGCCACCAGGGAAGCCCTGAAACCTGGTTAAAACCACTGTGACTCTCGTTCCTGGGGTGAGCCCCAACCGGGACGTGGTGGGGCAGAATCAGAAAGAAGGGGCCTGGGAGAAGGAGCAGGGAGACCGTCCCCAGTGAGGTCCCGCTAACGTGCTCATCAGCAGGGCTCTGCCTAAGCTGGAATCAGAAAAGGGGTGAAGCTGCAGACCCCCCACCTTCTCAGTGAGGGGCGCCCCTTCGGGTCTCTGCCAAGTTGGGACACAGCGTCTCTAGCACGTTGGTACCAACAGCTAGAAACACATGCGTTTCAGGTCTATGAAGCCTTCAAATACATATTTAATTATATTTGCTGCTTAGTAAGGCGTGAGGGTAAGCCTGTGTGTATTTATGAAGAGTTTCCATTAATCTGTCCATCAGAAAGCCCTTGTCCCCGCTGGCGGGGGGCTCACGAAGGCTCCCGTGTGCTTCCCTGTCGGGCTGGTCCAGGTGGCCAGTGCCGGGCTGGAGTGACCGGGCATCTCTCTGCAGGCATCCCCACCGTCAGCACGGGTGCGTGGGTTGTGGCCCGGCTCTTGCTGGAGGACACGGGGTGAGTGCCTGTGGCCGAGGGGGAGCGCTGCTGACACAGGTCCTGGGGAGCTGGAGGGCACCTTTGTTTCTGGGTAGAAGGCAGCCTCTGGACGCTCGGGGGTGGGGGGAGGACTCAGGGCGGGGGAGCTCAGAGAGGGGCCGCGGAGCAGGTGGGGCTGAACCAGGGCTGGCCGCGGAGCGGGGCCTGGGGTCCGCCAGGCAGAGATGGAGCCGCGTCTTAGGGAGACCACTGCGGCCCAGAGCCCAGCGGGAGGACATCCAGGCTCAGCCCTCTGAGGCCCTGCGGCCGGGCCAGGCCCAGAGGCTTCTGCCGCGCCCAGCCTGGGGCAGCCCCAGCTCCCACCGTGGAGCCCAGCCCCTGCTGTGCCTCGTGCAGGCTCAGGTCCGCCAGCCGCCCCCTAAGTGGTCTCCGCCAGTAACAAACGCCCCAGGCTTGGCACTGACACAGGTGCGCCTCTGTGCCTGGCTCTGGGCAGCTTTCCCACTCGGTCTCGCTCACTCACTCACCGTGGGTACCTCCCTGCAGGGGAGGCCGGGGCTGTGGGTCTAGACAGGCCACACTGAGTTCCACAGACTCCACACCCCCCTGTCGGAACCAGCCAGGCTCCAGGACGAGGGTGGGTCTGCTCTGCTGGGAGGCGTGTGGGTCACAGGGAATCGGGGGGCATTGTACCAGCCTGCTGTCCCAGCTTCCTCCTGGAGACCGCACATGGCAGTCAGGAGCGACCACCTAACAAACCTGTGAGTCGAGGGCTGGTCGTGGGCAGTGGGGGCGGCTTGTTTGGCAAAAGCCCCGTGTGAGGGGCGAGGCCACAGGCGTGTGATATCCTCCTGTGCTTGGTTTATAGGTGGAATCCGTGATAATGTGATTTTCCTTCTCTTTCTTCAATAGTTGCTGGGACACCAGTGACCACAGTGTTCCTTGGTGGGTTATACGAACACCGATTTTGATTTCTATTATAGTAAGTGACTTCTGCGTGGAAACCTGAGTTACCACCAGGTTGCCCTTGGGCAGAGAGCCTTGTGGTGAATGCAGATGGCCCCGTTCTACTCGGTCTCCCGAGACAAGAATCCCAGGCTGAGCTCTTCCACGGGGCCTCGGCCACCGTCAGGAGGAAGGGGAGGGCTAGAGGGAGACGCGGGGGGTCACGGTCAGCTTCCCCAAGTGTGCAGCCTTCTAACTGAACTGGATTTCCATCTGTGGATTGCACACCTTAAAATGAATGTTCTCAACTTAACTGCTGCAACCTGGGGTCAGCACATCGGTGACGCCACAGAGCAGACCCCAGCTGGGCAGGGCGCTGGCGCTCCTGAGCCGGCAGGGCCCGGAGCCCCGTTTCAGGCTGCTCTGAGCCGCAGACATCCAGGCCTCGCTGCCTCCCTTGCAGGGGGACTTCACACCCTGAAATGTCATCTCCTTTTGTGCAGGTCAATTTCATCTTTTTCGTTAGTATTATACGAATTTTACGGCAGAAGTTGACGTCCCCAGATGTCGGCAGCAACGACCAGTCACAGTACAAGTGAGTATGTGTTTAGAGCCAACTCGGAATCACCCTCCCCAGCCTCACGCAGCCTGATAACTTGGAGGACCTGTGTGGAGAGCAGAGAAACTGGGGCTCGGGGACCCACACATGACCCCACATCTTCTCCTTTAGTCACAGGAGCGTGCCCTTGGCCAATTTACGGTGATCCCTGGACATGGAGTGACTGTCCAAGGGCTAGCATTACCATGGCAATTATTCAGACTGAGTCCTTCCCTTCCTTCCAGTGTGGACCTCCTCTAGAGAGCTGGGAATTGAAGTGTTCTATTCACTCTCCTGTTTTGTATCCTGACCTTTTCTCCTTGGCCACATGTCGTTTGCATTTTATATTTGGTTCTGTCTTCCCTATCGGACGACACGGTCCAGGCAACACCTCTTGTGGGCCTTGTACTTAATAATGACTCAGTTGATGTTTGTTGCCTGAATAATAACAGGCAGGTGGTTATCATAGTCTCCCTCATGGGAAAGAGAGTAGAGTTTAAGCAATCACCCACAGTCATCCAGCTAATTAACAAGGACTGAGAACTCTGTAAAGGAACTGGAAGATTCTGTAAATCTCTATCAAGAATTCATAAAGAACAAATAGAGCCTGCGACTCGGGTGTAAACTAAAACTAGCCCAGTGTGGAGGCACTGGTCCAGCTGGTCCAGCCTTAGGTTCAGGCAAACGGGGGCTGGAATTGCAGCCCCCGAAGCTGCATGGCCCCAGGAGGCTACCCGCCCACCCCAGGACGGTGGGCCCTTCACTGCGTCCGTCCCGCCCCTCCTTGAGACACAGGGTGGCCTGGGGGGACATTCAGGTGGCCTCCCCCAAGGTGGGCAGCCCAGTGCATATTCTGCACCAGTTGGAGGCCCGGGGGAGGTGCCTGCCCTGCAGCCCGCCTGCCTCCTCTCCTGTGGAGATGCTGGCAGTAAGAACAGCCACTGAGGCTGCTATGAGCGCTGATAGAGGGGGTCTTCAGATGATGCTTAGTGCCCGGCCCCAGTAAGTGCCGTAATGGGGTGTGTAAGCACACACGTGACCAGCCTGGCCCCAGTAAGTGCCATGATGGGGTGTGGGAGCACATACATGTGACCAGTGTGGCCCCATTAAGTGCCGTGATGGGGTGTGTAAGCACACACACGTGACCAGGCACCAGTAAGTGCCATGATGGGGTGTGGGAGCACACACGTGACTGGCCTGGTCCCGGTAAGTGCCGTGATGGGGTGTGGGAGCACACACGTGACCAGCCTGGCCCCAGTAAGTGCCATGATGGGGTGTGGGAGCACACACACATGACCGGGCCCCAGTAAGTGCCGTGATGGGGTGTGTAAGCACACACGTGACCAGCCTGGCCCAGTAAGTGCCATGATGGGGTGTGGGAGCACACACACATGACCGGGCCCCAGTAAGTGCCATGATGGGGTGTGTAAGCACACACACATGACCGGGCCCCAGTAAGTGCCATGATGGGGTGTGGGAGCACACACGTGACCGGCCTGGTTCCAGTAAGTGCCATGATGGGGTGTGTAAGCACACACATGTGACCGGGCCCCAGTAAGTGCCGTGATGGGGTGTGGGAGCACACACGTGACCAGCCTGGCCGCAGTAAGTGCCATGATGGGGTGTGTAAGCACACACACATGACCAGGCCCCAGTAAGTGCCATGATGGGGTGTGGGCAGCATACACACATGACCGGCCTAGCCAGTAGGTGCCATGATTGGGTGTGGGAGCACACGCACGTGACCAGGCCCAAGTGCCGTGATGGGGTGTGGGAGCACACACACGTGACCGGCCTGGCCCCAGTAAGTGCCATGATGGGGTGTGTACGCACACACGTGACCGGGCAGCAGGCTCTGCTCGGCCCTCGGTGGGGGTCAGGCCACAGATAGCAGGCATCCCCCTGCGCTGTCCCTGCCTGGCTGCCCCCGGCCCCACCCAAGCTGCAGCTGCAGCTCTGCCCGCCCCTCACTGGCACTCTCAGGTTCTGCAGGTCTCGCTCGCTACCACCTTGACCTTTCCTTTGGACTCTGGGGAGCGATTGTAAGTGGATTATAGAGAGGGATGCTTTTGTTTTGGAAACAAACTTAAGTGGGGATAATAGAATCTACTCTTTTTCCAGAATAACAAAGGCAGAGCACATCTGTGATGCTCGCCTGCCTGTATTTCGGCATGTTTTCTGTCTCCATCTCATAACAGAAGTGACAGATTCCCCAGGCACAGGGCCCCAGGGGTCCCGCCTCTAAGCCCCCTTTCTAGAGACCAGCAGAGTCTCAACGACAGGACTCCAGGCAGGTCTCTCTGACGTCCGCCTAACGGGCCACTCCCTGCAGAACTCCAGCCTCACTCCCTGGGCAGACACCAGCCACAGTGCTGAAGGCCGCGAGACCGCTGTGCGCTGCGGTCAGATGGTCAGGCCTGCATGTGACGGTGGGGGGTCCCGAGGCCTCCCCTACCCAGCGACGCCCCGGTCACGCACGCAGGTGGGGCAGAGTTCGTGCAGATCACCCAATACAGAGGAACCCCCTTCTTGTGAACTCTGCGGGTTTCTCAAAATATGTAAGCAAAGTGGTAACTTCTCAGTATTCAGTTCAGTTCAGTCGCTCAGTCGTGTCTGAGTCTTTGCGACCCCATGGACTGCGGCACGCCAGGCCTCCCTGTCCATCACCAACTCCCGGACCTTGCTCAAACTCATGTCCATTGAGTCGGGGATGCCATCCAACCATCTCATCCTCCATCCTCCCACCTTCAGTCTCTCCCAGCATCAGGGTCTTTCCCAAGTGCTGGGTGGCGCCAGCCTAGCAGAGCCGGTGGGGAGGATCCAGAGGTGCCCTCCCTTGGCTCCCTCCACGTGGCCAGGATGAGGCTGGTCATCGGGGCGGTGGCTGGTAGCTGGGGTTGCAGAGGGCCCAGCACCTGCCTGCCTGCCCGGCCTCCAGGTGACCCCAGGGCTCCTGACCATCGGACGTGGTGGGGTCGCTGCATCAGATACAGCCACAGGGACTCCCCCGAGAAGAGGCCAGTCTACCCGCAGAGACTTTATGTAACTGGGGGGGCAAGGTGCAGCTTGGATTCCAAGTCTGAAGAGCCCCCCAATGACTCTCGTGTGCAGCTGTGGAGGCCCTGGCTCACGGCAGGTTCTCCAAGGGAGTTCCTCTCAGCAGCTGCAGGCCTCTGTGCATCTGAAGCAGCTTCTTGGGCTGAGGCCTGGACGCTGAGTCAGAGGTGGCCTGCTTCAACGTGGCCTCAGGTGGTGCCGGGGCTGGCTCTGGGGCCTGGGAAGCGCTGACCTAGCGGAGATGACGGGTACCTGCTTAGGGCGTGGGACGGGCTTGGGGGCAGGTAGGACTGAGTTCAGCTGTCTTGCTTTCAACACCACTGCAGTGAGAAGAAAGTCTCCTCTTTGGTTAGGAGGGTAAGAGCTCCCTGGCAGGGAAATGAGATCCGGTGCAGGCTCTCCCACTCTTGAGACTTCTGAGACCCCAGCAGGGTCACCTGCAGGACCTGTCCATGACCGTCAGGGGAATACCGTCTTGCTTTTGCCCAGCGGCAGCCTTGCAGCACCTGCTCTTTGGATCTGAAACTAAAACTCGCCCCATCCTCCAGATGCTGGGCATGGTCTCCGCTGCTAAAACCAGGGACGCACAGGGCTGTCTGACCTGCTCAGACCAGTGCCGCCCTTTCCGACTGGCCACGATTCCCGTGAGGGCTTTGCTGCTCTGCAGGGCAGAGTGGTGCTCGCCCCTGCATTTGCACACTCTCCTGGGACGGGCGGAGGTGTGGCTGCATAGGGAGGCCCTCGGCTGGCCAAAGCGTGACCCCTCTCTCCATTGCAGGAGGCTGGCCAAGTCCACCCTGCTGCTCATCCCACTGTTTGGCGTCCACTACATGGTGTTCGCAGTGTTTCCCATCGGCATCTCCTCCAAGTACCAGATTCTGTTTGAGCTGTGCCTCGGATCCTTTCAGGTGCGGCAGGCCGGGCCGCGCGTCCCGGGCGTGGGGGGTCAGGGCGCAGGGGGGCCTCTGACCAGCATCGTCTCCCTTTCAGGGCCTGGTGGTGGCGGTTCTCTACTGCTTCCTGAACAGCGAGGTGAGTCCTCTGGCCTCCCGGGGGAGCGCAGGCTCCCGGCTCGTGGGGGCTTCCTTAAAACACCCCTAGAGGACCTGCTTCCCTGGGGGCTCAGACAGTAAAGAATCCACCTGCAATGCGGGAGACTTGGGTTCAATCCTTGGGTTAGGAAGATCCCCTGGAGAAGGACATGGCAACCCACTCCAGTACTCTTGCCTGGGAAATCCATGGACGGAGGAGCCTGGTGGGCTACAGTCCATGGGGTCACAGAAGAGTTGGACACAGCTGAGCAACTTCACCTCAAAAGATCTGGAGCAGGTCTACCTTCCGGGGGTCACTCGGCCGGGGTCACCGCTGCTGCCGGCTCCCCCAGGTCTCAGCTCAGCCCTCCTGAGCGTCTCCGCCGCCTCCCGGCTCCCGGGAGGAGCCCTTTTCCCTTGGCGCCTCCCACGTCCCCGTCCTCTCCTGGTGCCCAAGCCTGCCTGACCCCGGCCACGGGTATCACAGCTTCCGCACCCAGAAGGGGGCCACGGGGGGAGATTTGCTCCAGGGCTGGAGCCCCCCAGCTCCCGCCCGCTGAGCCCGTGCGGCCGTGCCCCGCTCCAGGTGCAGAGCGAGCTGAGACGCACGTGGCGTGGCCTGTGGCCCAGCCGGCCCTCCGCCCGGGACCGCCGGCTGCACAGCCTGTCCATCTCCAGGACCGGCTCGGACGGCGCCCTGCAGGGCTCCCGCGCCCCTTCCCTCCTGCAGACGGAGACCTCGGTCATCTAGGAGACCCAGTGTGTCCCTGGCCCCCGCGAGGGGGGCCCAAGCAGACTCGGCCCTGGCCACCCAGAGCTGGGCTGGTCCTCGGGGGGACTGGGTGACCTCAAAACCGCCTGGGACTTAAAGCTCGTGATTGTCAAACTCCAGCAGTCAGGCACTTTGTTGTTCATATTGTTTGGCCATGCAGATGAACCCATTTTCAAAGAGACTAGGAAAGACCGAGGTGGTAGAACCCAGGACTTGGTGTCAGCGACTGTGGAAGAAAGAAGGGGTTTTCTAATCTTAGCACCAGTTGTCGGGGCGGAGGCCTGGGCTGGGGCGCTGGCCCTCGGGGATGTGGTCACCGCTTCTGAATGACCTGCACCACTGCTCTCCCACCCCCAGTCATGGGACCGTCCAGCCCGTGGTGCGCGGGACACGTGGACCTCCCCCGAGGGCCTCCACGGAGCCTCCCGCACGCGCAGCAGGGCCCCTCGCCTCCGCACCCCTGGGCACCCAGGGCCCCGCCTGCTCACACCACATCCAGACTCTCGCCTCTGCTACTGCGCTCAGTTCTCCGGCCGCTCCGTGACACCGGCACCCCCCTTACCAACGAGGCCATGGAGCCTTCCTCTCGGGGCATCACGGAGCTGAGCGTGGGTGCCTGTCGTCAGGACGGCCGGCACTGGGCAGCAGGGCCAGGGGGCAGGGCTGGGCTGAGGAGTGGGCCGGACGGCCGGGGCACGACTGGGAGGCTTGTCACCCGGCATGGTCCCTCTGGGGGGTGTGCCCGGCCCCCAGTGAGGGGAGCCTGGCCCAAGAGCGTGGGGCAGCCACGGGGGGCCCAGCAGCGGAGCCCCAGCTCAGTGAGCGAGCGCATGCCCAGTGCCCCCGGAGAGCCGGCCCAGTGTCTCTGGCCGCCGTCTGGCGCGGGTGCTAGCTGCGCACCTGGGTGTCTGTCGGCTGCCAGCGCCTGGTGGTCCGGCCCGATGGGAGCAGAGGGGAGACTGCCTGTCACTCCCCGATAGCAGGACAGAGGTGACCAAAGTGCCCGATATGTCGCTGCAAAGTGCTGTAAATGTGTGCGCGTGGAATGTGCCCCAGCCGCCGCGCGAGACCACTTGAATAAAACCCATCTTGTGTCTGTTGCTGGCTGACTCTGACAGCATCAGCGTACTGAGGACGTTCGCAGGAAGCCTCCCGCCTGTGAAGAGGAACTCGGGCAGAGGGTGGGCCATTGGGGGCGGGCGGCGGCAGCTCGGGGCCTCTGGATGCCGTCGCCTCCTGGGCACTGGCACAGGTTGGGACTGCTCCTTAGAGGCCTTGTCAGTGGCGGGTCCACACAGGGGCTCCCAGCACTCCTGGAGGTCCCAACGCACACACCCCTGCTCCACGGAACCTGGGAACCTGCTCACCAGGGCAGGGCTAAGCGCACACGTGCTCTCGTGTGTATGTGTGTGCGCATGCCTTCTGGGAGCAAACTCCTAACCGTGGCATTTGTGCCACCAACAGATGAACCCCATGCTCAGTCAGACTGCCTCATTCCAAGGGGAATATCGCACACTGCCAAGGCATCACACCGTGCGTTCTCCAGAGGCTGAGCTATAGATGGCTTAGAAAAGAGCGGAAACCAGCCTCTGGTGGTTTCCAAGAGCCCCAGGCTCCGGGTGACAGGACTCTGTCAGCTGTCTGCTGGTGGAAAGAGCTTCGTGAGGACTTGGATCAGGTCTGTTCCAGACTTGGGGAAGAGAAGTGAACACACAACGTGGTGATGGGTGTGTGCCCAGGGGCTGCTTTGCAGAAGACGCCACCTCTACAGACGGAAATAGCCAGACCCTTCCTCTCTTATCAAGAACGGCAGTTTTTTCCAGTGGTGCCGTTTTCAGGCTAGAGAAGCTATTCAGAGGAGTTACCAAAGCTCAAACATTAGAGGCAGATATTAGCTAAAAAGTGAAAAAGCTCTGAAGTCCATCCGCCACCTGCCTCTCACCACTCGGGAAGTCAATATTACCATCATGAGTGCGTGGTGTTTCCCCGACATTTTCTTCTGGGTCCATGCAAACTTCTCTCCTCTCCCAGTCTGCCTTCATGGAGAGTAGGTCATATTGTACAGACATCTCTGCAACTGGCCTTTCCATTGGGATAGACGTATGTGGGTCTGGCCTGTCTGCACACAGACGTGGTTTACCCCTAACAGCTGCACGATTCTCCGTGGCACATGTGCTGGGTTTATTCCACCACTCCCATTCGCTGACGAGCATCTGAGCGCTTCTGTGTCTGCACAAGCAGTCCCGCAGACCCGGCCCAGAAGTGGGGGGCCCTGGGCGTGCGTGCTGGGCTCTGAGCAGGCCTGGCCTGGAAAGAGGCAGCCAGTGCCCCTCTGGCCGAGCTGCAGTTGACACATCACTGGGGCTCCCTTCTCTCTTCACCCCAATCTGCCTGTCTTCAGTCTTGAGGACGGTGAGTGTCTCCCCTTTATGGAAAGCTTTTCCTTTGGTCCTGAGCCTCAGCCCGACCCACTGACACAGGCGTCAGGGAGGCGGCCGCTGCTCCAGGTAGCCGTCCTACCTGACGCAGGCCCTGCTGAAAGTTTACAGATTAATGCGTTTATTCTTGGAAACAGGGGCGAGACTCAGCAGAGGCCAAGGACAGTGTGCGTCTCCGTCACCTGTTTGCATCACCGGCCTTCGAGCTCTCCGAGAGGCGCACTCGGCTTGTGTACCTCACAAAGGATTTAGGGCATCTTTTATACAGAAGTGTGCTCTTTGGTAGACGGAAGGAAAAGAGCTTGCCACTTCTCCTCTCTAAAGCTTTACTGACGACAGGGGAGCGGGCAGAGGTGGCGGGAGGTCCCCTTGTTCCTGACAACAGTCCCACCTCCCAGGGCATCCTGGCGGGAGCAGGCCTCAGCCCCAGCACTGACCCAGAGCTGTCGCTGGGATCGTTGTTAAAGCTGCTTGTATTCAACCACTGACACTGCACCTCAGGGGCTGCAAACTATTGGACTACAATCAGAAAAAATGAGGCTGAGTAGCTCCAATGTCTCCTTTGGAGATTTAGGGTTTTACAAATCCTCGTGTGCTGGATGCTATAGGTGACAAAGTATGAGAAGCAGCAGTAAACTCACGACACCTGAAGGATACAAGCCCGTGGCTTTAATCGTCACAATCAGGCACCCAGAATATGCAAAATTTGTGATTTTCTGATCTTCATGCGATCACAACCCTTTCAGGTTTAAATCGCACAATATACCGAGACCCCGTGATAAGGTGACTCGTCACCCTGCAGACTTCCCTGTGCTCGGGTTGGTGGATTTCCCAAAACTGTCAGCCCGCTCTGAAACCCCATACTCTGTTCTTGGCCCTATAGCAAGCACATCTCTGGAAGCATAGTTCCAGGTTCTGTGTGTGTGTGTGTGTGCACAAAACACAGTTGTGAATGCCGGACCGGGGGTATTTCCGGGCAGGCACCCCCAGCCGCCTCCCCGGGGCCTTGGCTAAGCATCTTCTTCTCCCGTCCCTCTGAGGAGGGTCGCTCCTCATCAGACAGGCTGAGGGCTTTGTGCTGGAGGAGCCGGAGGAAGGCGGGGGGCCGCCCCCAGCCCTGCTCTGTGACCTTGTTTTGTGGGTGTCAGTCAACCAACAGCTTCTTATCTGGGCTTTTGTGCTGCTGCTCCCCCAAGTTCTCCCCAAATCATCCACAGGACAACCTTCCTGATGTGCCCTTCGGGTCACACTGCTCTGGGGGACCCTCACTACCATGACCCCAGGTTCTCAGCCAACCCCACAGTTACACTCCCTGCCGGCAGGCTGGGCTAATCAAAAATGCACAGTTGCGGGTTAAGTTTTACTGGGGCAAAATGAGAACTATAGCCCAGAGCCAGCATTTCCGATAGTTCTGAGAAAGTGCTCGTAAGAAACAGGAGGGAAGGTCAGTACATATGATTTTAGTGGAGGTGCATACATACACCACGTACATACAATCAGGCACAGATTTTTTGCAGAAGGTTTCTGCTAGTCAAGAGGGGCAGTCAGCACCATGAAGGATTTTAGTGTTCTAGATATGAGGAGATAGAAGAACTGGGCTCGTAAAGTCAGCTCCTAAAATACCTACCTGACGACCTGTTCTGCCACTTTCTCCTGGAGCGCAGAGTGCCTGGTTCCTGCCTCCGCCCTGAGCTCCGCACCCTTCCGGGGGTGCTGAGGGTCAGCGGCTGCAGCGGCGCCTGGCTCAGTCCTCACCAAGGTGGGCGGCAGCTGGCCGCCTGCGGCTGAGGTGACGGCTCCCCCAGGGGTCTGAGGCGCCGCCTTCCCTTGGCACCAGCCTCACCGTGAATGCTCTCGTCCCGCTCCTCCTCTGGACTCTAAGTCTCCTGGGACAAACGGTGTCTTGGTCGCCTCTGCCCCCCGGGACTGAGGCGTCGTGCAGAAAGCAGGTCCTGTTCACTCGCTCCGCATTAATGGTGGTGGCCGAGGCAGGCATGCTGCCTACAGAAGTGTTCCTTGCAGGGACCTGGCCCAGGGTAGAAGTCGTTCCTCTGGCCCACATCCCTGGGACTTATGAACTCAGGAGGCAGATTTTCTAGACACAAAGAATCAAATGGGCAGAGTGTCTCCTCTGCCTCCAAAGGAGAACAACGTCCAAAGGCTGCTTGGACGTTGCCCTGCTGACTTTCCTCCATGCTTGGAAGCAGAAAACCTCAACTTAGAAACGGAATTCCTGGAGAGCTACTGCATCAGGTCTCTCCAGGGGGGAAAGATCCAGGTGACTCTCAAGGCAGCTCCTTACGGATCTGTCAAGCCGAGGCGCGCCCGGCACTTCTTGTCTGCACACGGCGGTGAGTAGAGGAGGCAGCTGAAGACGACCGCCCGGGGCCGCGGGATGTGGTCCCAGCACCTGCGATCAGGCGCTGGGCGGCAGCCCCTGAAACAGAAGGAAGCCCTCCACTCAGGCCCCGAGGCCCCTGCCCCAGGCCCCAGGGACCCACATGAAGCACGGTCCTTCGTCCAGGCAGGCAGCCGGGGAGCTGCAGAAGGAGCGTGGAGCCCTCGGGCATGCTTCAGGCGTGGTGACTACACACATATCAACCCAAGAAGAAATAGGTCTCTGAGCAATTCAAGTCTTCATTAAGATTTTCCCTGGTGATAGGATAGGTCGCAGGTGGCCGCAAGAGGGCTGGAGGGTGCCTGAGGGGCTGAGACGCCTGGGAGAACACGGCCGTCCCAGCAACCAACCCACCCACGGCCTGGCCTGGTCAGCAGCGGGGAGCCCATACCTGATGAGACCAGGACTGTATGAGCCTTGGCTTTATTTTCCTGGGACTACATTTGACAGCATTTATTTCTCTGAGGAAAAAAAAATTTTAAATAAAGTAACTCATTTTCTCAAGTAGTGGCTTTGGCTCCGGCTATCTGCCTTAGCAAAAGATACTTGTTGTCATAGCAACGAGCGCAGAATGAGAAATAACCAATCCAGAAATTTCAGACTTCTTCCTCACAAAATTTTTGGTTTTGTTTTGATAGGATCTTTTCATTAAGACGGTTCTGTTCTCAAATAGCAGATGGACCTGGTTTGGCGCCAAGGTCAACAAAGCAAAGGTTTCCCAGCCTCACGGTCAGACCATGCCTCCTTGCAGCAGCCCAGCCGCCCTGTGCTG